TTCCATTCTATAGAATACAACTAGTAATGTAATGTGTAAAAGCTTTAGGTTTACAAAGTAATGATAAAATAACCAACACAAAAATTCAATATTTCCGATTACTGATTTTATTACTTAAATTACGTTTTACTAAATCGAAACTATTTAAAATAAATGTAGATTTACTTGTATCTTCAGACTTCATAACAATTTTAAGTTACACAATAACAATATTCACTGTTGAACGCAATCGTTTTAAAATGAATTTCGTAAAATAACACGTGCACTATCACAAACTGTTAAGTTCCGACTGAGATCTTGCTCTCTAACGGAGTTGTGTTCCTTTTGCCTTATGTTAAAAGTTTTATTATATGGTAAAAAAAAATCAAAATCGACGCTTTTAATGAACTTTTGAGAGCAACCGGAAATCTCTACATAGAAAAATATAATTGGTTCTATGTGCCTAGCTTTGGGCATAAAGTTTTGATTCATGGATATGAAGTAATCAACTTTTCTGATACACTTCTAGGTACATACTTATGTACTTTGAAATATAATTTTTTCGACTAAATATAAAAAATGTTCAATTAATTTTTTCGCAGGTGTTTTGTCTGAAGAGGCTTTGGAAGCTACTCATAAAAATATGCGAAAAACCGTCTTACGCATACTCAGAAAACTTCTCGAGTACTTTTCAATACAGATTTAATACCACATCTGTTATTGTCTTCTGACCCACTTATTTCGGTTCAACGTCATACACAAAAAAATTTTGTTATTTATTTTGTATGGCAACAATGAGATTTACATATATGTACAGTGGCGGTCGAAAATGGAGGAATGGAATTTCGTTTCTAATATTTATCTACAATGTTTTTCAGCAAACATTTTTTTTTGAAATTCTTTTATAAAAATATGCTTCATGCTTAAAAAAAAAATTGAATATGAAAACTTCAGAGGGCCATAAAATAAAAATGCGAGTTAACTTTTGCAAATACATCGAGTATTTTGTTACTGGATAGGTATACTTTCAGAAACTGTTGACATAGTCCGGGCTGGCTTCGGCTGTCGCACAGTGTTATTAAACGTGCGATATATTGGCAATAACATTTTTTCAAATTCCGTCCTTTACTATATATTTTTTTTTTCAAATTTTTAATTCGACGGAACCGACGAACGTTGTCCGGCAATGGAGAAAGTTGTATAACCTTGCGCTTACACATGGTAAGACAATTGAGAATATGTAATAGTTTTCAAATTGTTTGAATAAAGTGGGCGTCCAGAAATAAAGGAATTTATCAAAAGCCGCTTTAATATTTGCCCTACCAAAATGTGTTTAAATTTTTGTTGCCCTGTGATATTGATATAAGATTGTAGAAAAATGGGGTTAGGTTAGGTTACGTTAGAGTGACTGTCCCGCGCAGAGCACGGAGTACACAAAAGCCCGTTGTGATACCACTGGCCGAAGCCATTTGTTTCTTATCCTCCCTTAGTAATTGAACCACCGGGTGCGTTTTATATATCACAAAAAGGCGAGGACGCTTCCGAGTTCAAGTTGGCTAAACAATCCAGAATGTACTTGTTGAAAAGTTGGTTGCGCGGAATAATGGCAGAGATAGTGTTCGAAAGTCTCCTCCTCGTCCTTGCAGCTGCGACAAAAATCGTTGGTGGGGTATCCTAACTTTTTACCCAGCAGGCTATGCCCGGTGATTACACCGACTACTATTCTGAGAGAGGAGCGGTCCAGCCGAGTAAGAGCTATGGATCGCTTTACATCAACCTTTGGCTAAATTTGCCTGGTAGTATGGCAGATGGTTTCCACAGCCCACTTGGTGTTTACCTCGATGAGTGGCAGCCTTTAGTCTGGATTCTGAGCAGAATTGACTTCAGATATTTCCGTCTTCCTCCTTGCCAGCTCGTCGGCTAGGCAGTTGCCATTTTGAGTCCCTTGTACTCCCCCTTTTTTCCAACATAAGGCCTCATACTCAAAAATCGAATAGACTCGGAACTGCTGACTAGGACGGCCATTTATTCGACCAACCCTTTAAAGATTTTCTTTTTTTTGTCTTTTTTTTATACAAAGCCAAAGAAAAACAAGTAAGAGCAGCGCTGTCTTCGGCTATGCCGAAGGCTTCATACCTTTCATGAACATCTGCAAATTTTAGTTTGACAGATTACTGATTTTGAATACATCTGCATACATCGATAGAGGAGTTACATACTTATATAAAAAATCGCATCTAAACAATCAGAGGTGTGGAAGATATACTTTATATGGCACCAATCTAAGTGATTTTCACTGCTATGTGATCGGTATGTAAACCGGTAACACAATTTATTGGGTTTAGTTTCCTACATAAAGGATATATATCGCAAAAACTAGTATCTGAACAATCAGTGCTATAGGAGATAAAGCTTATACAGCATAGATTTTGACGATTTTCTCAGTAGACTTTGTATTATTATTTATAAAATATCTTACGAAATTTATCGGTTTTAGCTGTTCAAATAAAGGAGTTTTACAGTAAAATCCCATATCTGAACAATCAGATGTATGGAAGATATATGTTGTAGTCACCAGATCCTTGTTATTTTCACTGTACGTATTCTGTTAATAATGAGTGAAAATGGTGCGAAATTTCATGTTCCTAGCTGCATAAATGGAGGAGATATGATAAAAGACCCCATATCTGAACAATCAGTTGTATGGGGGCTGCAGGTTATAGTGACCCGATCTTCGTTATTTTCACTGTAAGTCTTCTGCTGATAATGAGTGAAAACAGCGCGAAATTTCATGGTCCTAGCTAAATAAATGGATGAATTATAACGAAAAATCTCATATCTGAACAATCAGTTGTATGGGAGCTATAGGTTATAGTTATCCGATCTTTTTAATTTTCACTGTAAGTTTTCTGTTGATAATTATTGAAAACAGTGCGGAATTTCCTGTTCCCAGCTTTATAAATGGAGGAGTTATAACGGAAAATTTTATATCTGAACAATCAGTTGTATGGGAGCTATAGGTTATAGTTACCCGATCTTTGTAATTTTCACTGTAAGCATTCTGTTGATAATGGGTGCAAGTGCTGCAAAATTTCATGTTCGTAGCGGCATAAATGGAGAAGTTATAACGAAAAATCTCATATCTGAACAATCAGTTGTATGGGAGCTATATGTTATAGTGGTCCGATTCTTCCGGTTCCGACAAATGATTAATACATTATAAAAATACACCCACCTACCAAATTTGATCCGGATATCTCGAAAACTGAGAGACTAGATTGCATACAAACAGACGGAGAGACGGACAGACGGACAGACGGACATGGATAAATCAACTCAGCTCGACGTTCTGATCATATAAGTATACATTTTAATGGGTCTATCTCTTTTTGTTCTGGTACTTACAAACATCGGACCAAAGTTATAATACCATTTCATGCTCATGAAAGGTATAATTACACCTGAAAAAGACTTGCGTGCCAAATGAACTTTTCTTTCAAAGTTTACGCTGCTGGCAAATGTAAATAAGGATTAAAATTTAAAACCTAATTAATACAACTAAAGTAAAATCTGTGGAAAATTAACAATAAAATGCTTTTTTCGGAAAATCTATAAAGGACCCTTTTATTTCTCAAAAAAACCTGGGTAACAGTTATTCGTCGCCACGCCGCACAGTGAGACAACGCCGGCATTAAATACAAGGAGTCATTGTAGAGCTCTGAAATTTTGCACAGGTTATTTTTGAGACAATTCCAGTTTAAAAAAAAAAATTAAGAAAATTCGCCCACTTTTACGCCCACCTGCCATACAGTCGAAATTTGTAAAATGCCGTATTGTCCGTAATACTTTAGGTATAACTTTCAATTTTGGTATACTTGAATGTTATATAGTTACAAACATTATTTGAAATAAAAATTGAACTTTGGCCCACTTTTAACCCCATCACCCATACTACCTCAACATAAAAAGTGCCATATTTTCTAAAATATATTAAATACAACCTTCAAATTCGATATTACTGTAATTTATATCAATTAAAATGTTTCATGCAAAAATTACAATAACACGCCCACTAATACGCCCACCTCCCATTGAAATGCAATAAAAAAAACAATATTTTTTTTTCATTCAATCAATAATTTTTTAACATCATCATGGTATTCTAATTTTTTTAATTTGTTTCTCATTCTAAATGAATTAATATAAGGATCTGATGATATTTGCAAATAGTGCATTACATCTTCATTCGTAGAAATACGTGAATTTTTACGAGAATGGAATAGCCTACAGTTTCTATACTCCTTATTCATTGCTTCTTGCGCTTCTTCGGATAACATTCCTGTAGCAAAAAAAAAAGTTAATATTAAATAAAGTTTAAAAAAATACTTTCAAAAATAAAAATTGCAAACAAACCTATTGGCAATATAGCCTCAGATACCATTTTGCTGCCGTGAATGAGAACTTTATGCACAGTGATGGGCATGTAGTACCAGCCATAAAGCTCTACATATAATTTTGCAGTGTCCATGCAATACGTATGGAATTTACCAACATCTATATTTTTACTACTATTTATAGTATTTAATATAATTTTAAAGCGGTGAATTAAGTCTACATTTACACCAGTTATGTCAGCGGTTATTTCTGGATGTTCAAAAAATCTTCTAGAGACATTACCATCATTGGTTGTTCCCATGCCTTGTTTCACCACATCGACTTTTAAGCCCAGAACTAATTATTTACTAATTAATTATGCAACTATCTAACCCAAAGTCAATGACCTTCAACAAAATTATCTATCAAATTAATAACGTAAATAAAATTTATGTAAACAAGAATATTTTTATTAAAACATAAATGATCTATAAAGCATAATTCTGAAT